ATCCAAAACCCGGCCTTCGATATGTAGGGGTCGTTCCGGTGTTGAGGATGGTCAGGCCAATGCGGGCTGCCATTTCAAGGACCAGTCTTCCCCTGGTGTTTGTTTGGGGCATACCCCATTCCACGCCTCTTGCGTTGAAATCTCCAGCAACAATTATGTGGCCGGTTATATCGCGCAATTCGTCTTCAAGGTCTTCGAGCTTTCCCCTGAAGACAGGGACTGTGTCGTTTGGAGACAGGTAGCAGCTCACCACAGTGATTTGCGCCATTTTAACCCAGACGTAGCAGCGTCCTACCCCGCTGCTCTCTGCGCGATGGTTGGGGTTAGCAATCCATATCGCGGCCGAGCCTGATTGGTCAACATGCCAGGTTTCTTTTGTTCTATAGGGTTCACTGATGATGACAGCGTCTGCTCTTTGTTCAAGAACCAATTGGTCCAGCAGGTCATCAGCTACCCTACTCCTGTTCATATTGCCTTGTATAAATTTAATCATATTCTCCCAAGCTTTGTCTTAGCCTCAGCAAGTGCATCCCTGAAGGCCTTGCACGCTCCCGACCCGGGCAGGTGATGGGAATTTTTCTGTCCATCTCCTGCCGAGCACAGGTAGCAGCTTGGGCTTTCTTTACACGCAGAGGCTATGTGGCCCTGCTGACCACATTTCCAGCATGAACTGCTTCTGTCTGGGCCTTTGCATGCCGCCTTTTTGTGGCCATACCCCAGACAGCGGAAACACCTTTGGACATCCGCGCGCTCTCGGACGCGGCAGATAATCCAACCTACTCGCAGCTTCCCCTTTTCAATAAGAGTCCGGCCTGGCAGTTCGTCGATTTCCACCACAGCCATTCTTTGTTCTCGCGAGTTTACAGCGAGGAGAGAGATGCGAAGTTGGCCATTCATCTTGTCTCCTAACTCCCCGCGTATAGCGTTCTCCACTTCTGGGGCCGTGGTTATATAATAATAATATTATTATTATTAGTATTATTATTATTATTATTTTTATTATTATTATTATTATATAGGGTTGCCAACATTTTCTAAGAAATTTATATTACTTTTTCAAAAAAATATAGTACACTTCAAATATATATAGTATTTTTTTTGAATGAAAAAGTAAAAATGCTTTTTAAGTGTACATTTTTTTATTTCTTATACAATTTCTTTATAAAAAGCGAAATTATTTTAAGTAAATTTTGTAAATCTTTCTAAGGGTCAAATTCACAGTGCGTAGTTAACTCAGAATCGACAGTTAACTACAGATTTTTGTACTGAAAACTGCCGATTCTGAGTTAACTACGCACTGCGAATTTGGCCCTAAGTATTTTTAAAAACGTTGCAATTTTTGATCTGTGAACCCTTTGTTTTAAGGTATTATTCTTTTAATATTGTTATTTTAGTATAAATGTCATCATATAGTATTTTTGCATACTATATTTTTTCCAATAGTATATAGTACGCAGACCCAAAAAATAGTGCAATACTATATTTTATAGTACGGTTGGCACCCCTAGGTGTATAAGTTAAACGGAACTCATATTCATCATAGGTGGGTCTGGTTAAAGCACACAGAATATGTATACAATAGCTATTATTCTGACTTTTTTTACCTGGAAATCTTATTTTAAGTATAAAAACCAGAAAAAATAAATGTGTTTAGCGCTGTCAAATGCCGTTTTCTGGATTAAAATAAATGGTAGGAAAGAAGCCATTTTGGTAGGTTTTGGAACCAGTTCTTGGTGGAAAGAAAGTTTATCAGTGATAACCCTGGTCGTAAACTCTGTCACAATTTACAGGGTGTTTTGTTTCAGGTGTATTTTCTGTGTCGTACCATGTAAAGGCAGCCTAGAACAGCGTTGGCAGCATGATTCAATAATACAAGGTTATATAATTATTGACAGCCGCGGTTTGACATTCCCTTACAAAATGTTGCATTTACGAAGGACAGAGGAAGGAGAAGAATGCAATCCCTTTTTGCGAAAACGGTAGTAGAACAGTACGCAAAGTAGGCAATTAGTAGTGAAATTCCTTTTTAAGTTCTAATCTATTTGCAGGAAATCTGGCATTTTAAACGAAATATTGAACGAAGTATTCATATATCTACTCGAATTACGTAATTTATGTGGTAGAGATTTATGTAAATGTGCTTCATATGCATATACAAATAAACATATTGCCCAAAAGCTTATACTTCTATTTCGCAGCAAAGCTACACTTTTTCCAAGTAAATTTGCAAAGAAGCAACACGGTGTCACTGCTAAGGGAGCGGTGCGAGAGAGATAACTGTCAGTTCATCGAACCTTGTATTATTGAATCATGCGTTGACAAAAGAGCAGTTTTTCCCGTTTTGCGGGAATTTTAAATAAAAAGGGAATAGTGGGAACAATGGTCGTGTAAGCGCGGAAAATCACATAATAATACTATTAGGCTAAAATAGTGTGCGATACATTCATGGGAAAGCTGTATGGAATTTAAAGTTTAGTTACTCCAATCAAACTCGAGCATATTGCACAATATGTGCAGCAAGCCATCTTCCTAACACAAAAGCATGTGCACAAATATAAATAAATCCATGATAACTAGCTAAAACTGCAGAGATATGCGTTTGCAGTGGAGCCCAATATTGCATTTTCAGCATTTGATCACTTATCAGTGATGATAACGCATAAGTAGATGCAATATATGTTTTACATGTAAATTAAATTGTTATTGATATTGACTGAGTTGTTAAAATACGGTTATTGATCGTGTAAAAAGTAAAACACGGAGAAAATTTGCCATATTTAAAAACTAAACTAAAAACTAAAAACTAAACTAAAATGAAAAACGGGAAAAATATATAGAATTGCATGGACAAAAAGGGAATAGACTCGGACAAAACCTGGCAACACTGGCCTAGAATCCAATACAGAATCATTCTTGCCAACAAGTGCTACTTCACACTAAATCTTAACACTATCAATATCCGATATGTTTACCATGCGAAATAAAATGAACTGCCGATTTTTAGTTTAAAATAATTTCAGTTGCAAATCCGAAGTTAACTGCAGACGTGGGCCTTTGGTTAAAATTCATTGCGCTCTGTACTCATGCACACAAGAATTTATACAACAAAGTGAAGTCCATACGTGGTTTCTTTTTAATAAATAATTAAAACACAATTAAGTAAAACAAATTTTTTCGGTATATTATAGGCTTAGAGCAAATATTTCCACTATTAATGAAGCACGATTTTATTCATGTGGCTGCCTCGAAGATTGATTTTGGCATGGCGCTTTATTCTGCTGAAACCAAATAACGTCCAAGTCCATGTCTTCAATTCCCGGGCACAAAAAATCGTTTATCATGCCCTATGGACTAAATAAGTAGCGCTCACCGTTGACCCAAATAATATTTTGAAACAAAAGTGTGTTAATGATGCCACCGCTCCAAACTCCGCACCAAACTATCACCCTCTGAGCATGCATTCGCTTTTCGACGATCACGTGCGGGTTTTCTGATCCTCAGATGCGGAATTTTTATACCCGAGCGCAAGGGTATTATAACTTTGTTCACATAACGGTTGTTTGTAACAGGCAAAACGAATCGAGATAGATATAGACAAATGTATACATAAATGAATGATCAGGATGAAAAGAGAAAACGATTAAGCGGTGACTGTCTGTCCGTCCGTCCGTCCGTCCGTCTGTGCACACGATAACTCGAGTAAAAATTAAGATATCTTAACGAAACTTGGTACGTGTACTTCCTTTGGGCGTAGGACGGATGGTATTGAAAATGGGCGAAATCGGACAATAACCACGCCTACCTCCCATATAACGGTAATTTTCAGAAATACGAAAACTGCGATATTTTAGTAAATACTGAAGATTATTCACTCAAAATTGATATTTACAATAAGTCTTAGATGAAAAATAAGAATATTATAAATTTTTGAAAAATAGGCGTAGCCACGCCCACTTATGGTTACATGTGTATATCTTGGTAACCGCTGCACCAATTTCTTCCAAACTTGGCACAGTTNATAAATCAGTAAATATTAAAGCTAATTTATTCAAAATTGACGCTTGCAACAATTCTTCACCAAGAAATACGTTTATGATACAATTTTGGAAAATGGGCGTGGCACCGCCCACTTATGATCACATATATGTATCTCGGTAACCGTTCTACCAATTTGTACCAAACTTGGCATGGTTATTGTGCTTGCCACACAAAAGCAAAACATTCAAAATTTGTGAAATCGGACTAAAATTACGGCTTTTTATATAACGGTAAATTTTAGAAAAACTTGAAACTTCAATATTTCGAAATTTAAGGACGCTAATTTACTCAAAATTGATACACCCCGGCTTACCATGTAACGGTAGCTTACGGAAAAGTGAAAAACATATATTTAATATTTGCGCCGGGTATTTAATGTTCGGCTCCGCTCGAACTTACTTGTTCCTTGTTAAAATGGACGCCGAAAAGAAAATGCGCTTTGTCAGAAAAGATGATGTTTCGACTTTTTCAATGAACACATTGTTTAGGTTACACAACATTGACTTTGGAAATAAGTTTGCATTGGGCACGTGCAGAAGGTGCAACAGCTCAGTAACTGTTGCGATTGCACTTCTGAATGCGTTGTTTTATACTTCTGATCAACTGAACAGTTGTGTGTTAGATGGTCGTAAAATTTTTCTGATCATTTGAGACAACATGTTGTGTGTTTTGAATTTGACAGATAATGTATCAAGCCGTTCAGAAGACGCATTCCTATCACTGATTTTTTAGCAACGGTTGCGCTCAATTGCTGCGCCTTCTGAACCTACCTATTATTTCCTAACGTTGTTCCAACCTAAAGCGTGTAATTTCGTTACTCGGAGATAAGATACTGAATTTCTGTTAAATTTCCAGTGGGAATGAACTGTCACAGTCAAAATAACATATCCTGTATATTCTTTAAATAAATAAATTTGCGTTTTATAATACACTTTCATGAAATTCATTGTCTTTGTTCTTAGGCGGTGGAGAGGAGGGGTGAAATGATTGTTCGTATTCTGGAGCCGAGATGCATTGGTGGTAAACAAGCCGTGGAAGCAGCTCATAAACTAATGTCTAAAGGAGATGCTCGACACACAGTTCAGGTAAGTTGGACGGCTAGAAGAGGTCTGCAACCATGATGCAGCAAAACAAAGGTGGCGTCTTCCGCGGACCGCTAATCCTCTCTTTATCGATTTGAATTCATCCACCTTTCCGCTGACGTCACAATATATTTTTTTGCACTAGTGATGTATACTAAATTTTAATATTGTACCCATTTGCCGAAAAGTTGTACCCAGAACTAGATAAACGTACCTAAAAAGTAGATATGTCTTTTTTTATGCATACTTTTTCGAAAGTTGGTGGACAACCCCTTCATACCATATCTACTTTTGGGCTTACATCAAACATTCTATTCTATTGAATTGGCCTTGAAAGGAATTTTTCCGGGCAATTGTAGGCAAAGCTATGTTTTAACCAATGTTTATGCCCCTTTACAAAGGGGGAAGGCTATTAAAATTCCTACACTGAAAGGAAAACGCGTGGAGATGCATTGGAAAATAAGAGACAATTTGCAGATAAATTATTTGGCTACGTTGCAAATGACGCTAAAATAATGTGCCTATACCGAATGTATAATTGGCTGAAGAGTATTTGCAATTCTACTTAGTTTTACATCACTAATTCGCACCACATGTTCGCTACCTCCTCTTCTTCTTCAAAATTATTCTTAGGGCCAGTTTTTCAGTAACTAAGTTTAAATGCCCGATATGACTGGTTTAAACTAAGGTTGGCCAATCAAATATCAGCAAGCTGTTCAATTTAAACTCAGTTTACTTAATTCAAGTTTAAACTGGCACTGAAAAACTAGCCCTAATTCTCTCATTCTCTCAATATTGTGAGATCTTACCCAGTTGCTCTCAGCTCGATTGGCGTAATCTTGCATTCTATCATTCTTGGACTGCAACCATATTCAATTCTATTGAATGTTGTTGGCTATTTCGCTTATATTTACAGCTTGTTGAAATAGTTAAGCGTCCTGGTCAAACTTTGGGCTTATACATACGCGAGGGCAATGGAGCTGACCGTACCGATGGTGTTTTTATCTCGAGAATAGCTCTGGAGTCTGCGGTTTATAACAGCGGTTGTTTGAGGGTTCGTAGCCATTAAGTGATGTTAATCAAAATATTGCAATCTAAAACATTATTTTTCTAGGTGGGTGATGAAATCCTGGCCGTTAATTTGGTTGACGTAACTCACATGTCATTGGATGATGTCGTAATTATTATGTCAATTCCTCGGCGTTTGGTGTTGGCGATACGTCAAAGACGCGACAGCCGTAGTGCAGGCTCACCTGGGCCGCCAACGTTATCGCGGCCCGAACAGAAACCACCGCCAGTCGTCGTAATTAAACGTGATCTCAGAGATGAAGACTTAGATGAGACAGATCGCATGCCAAGATCCCGATCATCACGCGAAAGACGTACAGGTATTTCGAAATCATGACTGGTAATATTTTACTGACGTTGCCTTCTCTGTTTTCTTATGTTCCAGGAGATGGTAGAGAAATGACCGAGTCCCGCTCTCGTCTTGGTTTGGGTCTTAATAACTACAGCCCACAATCCGAGCAATTAGACATGTATTACAATACACGTTCTGGCGTTAGCGCGATGAACGAGCCACCCAGCTGGGGTTATAAACCACCGCCACCACCATCAGTTATCACGGAACAGCCTAAAGGTCATGCTTTTGCTCCGTCGCATGCATATTATCAAAATGCTGGTACACTCGAGAGTTTAGCCGAAAAGGTACATGCATTTTACCCGAGTGGGCCATCTAGACGGATGTCGACAGGTACCGGCGTTGGCTTGGCGCAGCAACATGCGCGCTTCCCGCGCTCTGGATCAGATCAACATTTACCGCGTGTGGAATATACTGATTATTCAAATTCCTTGGGTCGACATTCCTTGTTGCGCTCCAGCTTGAAGCCAGGAACCGGCGCGGCACCTATAGCAGTGGGGGGCACTCTGGGGCGTTATGGTCGCTATGAACCACCACGCCAATCTTCGAAGTATGCTCCGCCAAATATAGGCGCTCAATCGCTTAGTCGTCGCTCGCGGCCGAATCTTGATTATTCTAGCGACACAGAAGCAACCATAGGGCCAAGGCCAAGTTATTACTACTACAACCGACCTGCTGTAGGCAGCATGCCACGCGGAACTAGCGCAGCGGGTGTTGGTGGTGCCGGTATACTCGGAGGTGGGCCAGATATGGCGAAATTTAATTCACTGCCACGTGAAAGACCGGGCGTACGTCTACAAGGTATACGGTCACGCATCGGTGATCGCATTATGGATGAGAGTGACGGCAACATATCGGCACCGGAATTCAATGCTCGCCGCGACCGTGATCTGAGGTCACGAATAACGGCGAGTCCTTCAATTTTCACTTCGGACGAGTACCGAGCATGGTTGAGGAGAGCACCAAGTAGTTCAGCTATAGCGGAGCAAATGCGTATGACGCGAGATCTGCTAAGCCAACCCCGATCACACAGATTTTCATGCAGCGCTGAAAATATACACGATGCTCTGAAAAACGTAAGTCGTCTTAATAGAGTACAACAAAAATATGTTTACTAAATTTGTATTCTTCGATATATTTTCCAATAGACCGAAAGCATTTACTCCAGTCGAACGGGTTTACTTGGAACTGGTACACTGGACCGGCATCTCGGCATTCCGCGACCCATTTCAGCATTACCAGTGCGCTCGATGTCATCACAGCATATTGGTGGTCCGTCATCGATACGTTCGCCAAGCATACGGCGCATGCGGCAACTACTCGAACTCTCTGCAGGTCCGGCTAGCCCAAGTGGTAGCATAATGAGCACCGGCGGCCATCAGAGTCCCGCGCCGACGCCCAGTGCCACACTTCCCAGAACGCACAGACAAATTGATATTAATCCAGCGGAGTTTGCCAAGTACAAACTCGACAAACCGATAGTCGATATTGGTGGTATATCGGGCATGTTGTGGATCCACTTGCTTGCGGGCCGTGGCTTACGTTCAGCACCCGAACTAGGCGCACAGCACGTTGGGGGCCCACATCATGCAGCGCAATCCCAGACCCGTGATTTATATTGTGTAATCGAGTGTGATCGTGTACACAAAGCACGGACAGTGGTGCGATCCGGTGATCTCCAATTCGACTGGGACGAGTCTTTCGAGTTGGACTTGGTGGGCAATAAGCAGCTAGATGTATTGGTATACTCATGGGATCCACAACATCGCCACAAGCTATGCTACCGCGGTGCGATATCGCTGTCTATTCTGCGACAATCACCGCTACATCAGTTGGCGCTGAAAGTGGAACCACGTGGAACCATTTACATACGCATGCGCCATACCGATCCAATCACCTTGTATCGACGGCGTGGACTGCCTAGCTTAAGGGCCGGATATCCCATATTGTTTGGCGCGGATTTGGAGACGGTGGTGAATCGCGAGTCTAAAGGGGCACCTGGCAGTGCACCAGTGCCAATTGTTTTGCGACGCTGCGTAGAAGAGGTGGAGCGACGTGGGCTGGATATAATTGGATTATACCGTTTGTGTGGTTCAGCAACAAAAAAGCGTCTACTTCGGGAAGCTTTCGAGCGAAATAGTCGCGCTGTGGAATTGAGCCCTGAACATGTTCCTGATATTAATGTTATTACCGGTGTTTTGAAGGACTACCTAAGGGAATTGCCAGAGCCGCTGTTTACGCGATGTCTATTCCAAATGACCGTCGATGCTTTGGGTTAGTTTTAAGCAGGAGATTAAACCTATTTCCGCATTACAAATATTGTCTTTTTTTCAGCCGTTTGTCTGCCGGACGATCCCGAGGGTAATGCAAAACTAATGCTCAGCATACTAGATTGCTTGCCTAGGGCAAATAGGGTAAAATACGCAATAAACTTATAGTTTTTATTTGGATTCTTTATATTCATACTTGTGCATATATTTTTAGGCGACCTTAGTATTCCTTCTCGATCACTTGTCTCTCGTTGTATCCAATTCTGAACGCAATAAGATGTCAGCTCAAGCATTGGCTACCGTTATGGGTCCTCCACTGATGCTTCATGCCGCTAACGCTCAACCCGGATCGGAAATCGACCACGCCCAACCAATTGCCGTGCTGAAATATCTCCTGCAGATTTGGCCGCAACCGCAAGCGCAGCATCACCAGGCGCCTAGTGGCGGCATCGGCAGTGCGGCTAGCATGATGGGCAGCATGGTCGGTGCAGGAGGTGCTTTAACGGGCGCGGGCAGCATGAGCAACATGGCTGGAGCTGTTTCAGGTAACGTAATTACATTACGTCTTTAAGGTTACAACTCCTATCATGCTGTTTAGTTTTGACTCATCAGCGCTTTACTCTGAGAGCAAATACCTAGAGGCACTGATTCGAAAAAACTCACATTCGTAATAAATGTATTAAGAAACGGAGTACCTTGGGATACATGTTTTTTTTTTTATTAAAAAGCTTGCATTCATAAGTTTCGGTAAACCACTTCATTGCGCAAGCAAGCAAACTCCACCTCATTTTTACCGAAATTTCAACTTTCGAGATTCCTAAACGCAAATTTACACATATTTTTACGCTTCTTCAACATCCACACTTTTAGCTAATTTATCGTTCGACATATGTTCTAAATGAATTTTTTCTCATTCTTAATTACAAATGCTGTGAGTGAAAGTTTCTTAAATGTGTGCATAAATAAATAGCAAAATTGGGATATGACTAATCCGCTTTTACAATTGACGCTACGTTCAAACTAATATTGATTAATACAGAGTCCTATGTAGACAGGTCGGCGCGGCGAGTCAACAGGGCAGCGTGGAAGCAAAGTCAGTGCGTTGCAAGCGGACAGACAACTTCTACTGCAGCAGCAGCAGCAGCTCATGGCGGCGGGCAATCTACTACGCTCGTCCACTTCGGTAACCAACATACTCTCACAAGGCCATCATCAGCTCTCAGCCACAGTCAACAGTCATCTGTATCAATCAGTAGTGGGTCAGTTAGCTCAATCGCCTCGAGCCTTGCAACAAGCGGTGCAACAGGTAAAAATTACACAATAACAACAAGTACGAAAACCATAACAGATAACAACAAGTACAACAGTAACAACAATACCACAAAGAACCAATTGACAAGAAACCATGAAGTAAAAAACGGCAAAATATACTAATGTGTTTGATAGAGAATTAGCCTGAGCTTTTGTAAGCATCCGCCAATTTTTTTAAACCTGATATTAGGTTTTGTTTGTAAATCTAAACAACCCATCAAAAACACGATTATCACAGAAACGAGCTAGGCGATGGGGATCGCTTACCCTTTCGCTTCAAAATGTCACTATTTTAACATGGGTATGTCATTGGCCGTAAGCCCTTACCCGCAACATTACCTTCGAACGAAGGGAGAACGCATGGATAAACAGATTCCAGAGAAGAGAACAAAAAATACCTTACAGAGAAACTAATGTAGAATGCCTAGATTACTACTTATTTATATTAAATTGTGATTAACGCAGTGAGAGGGGAGACCAGTGTGTTTGCATGTATGTGTATAAAAAAATATTTATTGGACCAAAACGTAGTGGGTAGGCACTGTGGCCAATGGTAATCAACTATTACCACCACCGCATGGTTGTAAGCAATGCAGAGTCCGCAGAATGCTCCGGAAGCAGTGTCCGGAGGATGCATCCGACTAGGCAGAGCATACTTTGAACTGCCATCAAATTATAACTTAAGAAAGTTTTATTACATGGCAGTTGAGAAGTGCATGTACATAAATTTCATTAATTTAATGAAGGAAATTTTTGCACATGCAGCAGTACATAGCATGCATTTAGGCGCCTGGTGTTAGCAGTCGCGTCTAAACATACCGGTCCCCCTAGACGATTTGGTCGTCTAGTAGATGTAAAATAAGCCGCAAATATCCGGCTCGAAGGACTATGAACTTGCACGGGGGCCCGTATCGGGAATAACGCTCCGGTGCAGGTGCTAGTGGATGGAAATAAAAAAACCAAAGCGAAATATTTGTTTTTTAGTATTTGTTTAATTTAAATATTCAGAGTCAGTTTTCAATAAATATTGGTACAAATAACAATGGTGTTACCTTAGTGACAGTGGCCTGGTCTGCTCGCGTTGATCTTCTGAACCGAAGTGATCTTAAGGATTTGCGGGATTTTAAATCGGACCGCCGGACAACAACCGATATTGAGAGGAAACTTAACGATAGGTTATTATCCGGCGGGAAACTTCAGTTAACGGCGCGAGCTAATCATAATTGGTGTGCATATGTATATGTGTGTGCATACGCCTATATGCCAACACTAGGGCGGGTCACAAAAGAATGAAAATCTTTAGGCTGACGGCCTAAACAAATTGAAATCAGAAAATTTCTTAAAAGATTAAAATTAATTAAAATTTTTATAAATCAGTTTTTATACATAAATATGTATGTATTTAGGTATATAGATTTTATTTAAAAATCGGAAGGTACATACATGCAGTGTTGCCAGAACTTTTTGGACGAACCGGCTAAATTGGCAAATAAAACCGGCTAAAAACGGCTTAAATGTTTCAAATTAATTTCACATGTTTTATTTAACTAAATCACGGGTAAAAACACTATTTCTTGGAGAGAAGTTACAAATTCGAGCCGGAAAAAAATTTGCCAACAAGAATTTTCAATTAGGAAAAACATATGATTGTGGCACATGGTTGGATTTTTTGTCGACGATAATTTGAATAAACAAGTCGTTAAATTTCTTTTGTTTGAAATGCAACCGTGGACACTAGCTGGCAGAAAAACTTACAAATTTACGTTCGTACAGAAATTTGCAAGTTTCTCTACATGAGAGAGAATTTGGGAGCATTTTTTCTTACTATCTGATATCTTGAGTGATAATTCTCGCTAGATTTTCGACGAACAATCCTATTGTCTTCCCTAGAAGGCCTTTTCAGACAGACCGATTCTCAATACACTCAAATAGAAACCAGTACACATAAAAGACGCTGTAAAAATTTTCCTTCAATTTTAAGGCAGTAAAACAACGACCTTAAGTTAACATCAACCGAGGCCATATGTTGACAAGGGATGCAAAATCACAGTTACACAAAAGAACTGGTCAGATCTTTCAGAAATCCCTTCAATTCTGATGTAAAATATGAAGCCAAAAGACTGCAGATCACCCATTTAGATGACCGGTCATATGACCGGCAGATATCTCGTAGGATTCCCAGAGAGTTTTGCTTTACATAGAAATTTGTGCTCTTTTATTTTCATTTTGACTCACTTCAGTGTTGGTTCCTTTAATTCAAGTTGGCATTCGGTTTTTGGAATTTGAATAAGTCCTCAGCAAAAAAGTTTGTTTAAAAAAATACATATGTGTACATAGTGCTTGAAAATATCAATTTTTCCCTTATCTTAAACCTTTGGGAGTGGGCAAAAATGATGTTTTGTAATTTAGGCAGAATTGAATATGCGCTATTTGGGAAGACAATATCTACATGTAATATTTATTCTGCTTATTGGCACTATATCCAAACACAAACGCATCTTAAGTGTCTTAACAGTGAAACAATTTCTTATTTTCTAAGTTTGCGAATAAAACTTCACACTTAAAATTAAGACATTTATAACAAACATTTTATGAAGAAAATCCCTTTTTCGTTTAAAATAAAAATAAGAGAAATCAGCCCAATTTCATACAACCCTGCCTGAGATGAAAATTTTCTCCACGATAGGGCTAGTAGCCATTTCAAACAGATTTTGGGTCGCTTAGTCAAAAATGGAAACATATATACATCTTTAAAATTTAAGAAAACAAGGCAAATAGCAAAATCGGCTAAAAACGGCTAAGTTTTTTCTGCAAAATGGCTAACAAATCGGCTGCCGGCTAAATCGGAATTTCTCAGGCCGTTTGCTATCGCAACCGGCTAAATCTAGCCGGAAAGCGGCTAAAATGGCAACACTGCATACATGCATATTTAGTTAAGCTTAAAATTGTACTTCCTCACTCCTGTATTTCACTTAATTGACTGACTGTATTTCACTTAATTGACTGATTTTTGGATATTCATTCTACATATCTTTCAGCTGATTACGATGCAGCATTCTACTATAAATTTTATAGGACATTCTACTTTGCATTCCCCCAAAATGAAACAAAGAAGCGTAATAAATAAAATATTGTAGGACATTCTACTTTGCATGGTGGGAGGGAGGTGCTACGACTTCTTGCAAACTCTCATCCGTTTAGAGATTGTAGCAAGACATTCCGTTTAGCTGTCTGCTCGTTATGTTATAGTTCGCTGAATGCACTACTTCTATTGGAGATGCAACGGCCCTGGTAATACTCACTATCTTTCAGTTTACTATAAACGCCACGCCCTTTTGTATAAACTCATAGTCAAAGTGAGTTAGAGGTCCGAAGATATAGCAAATATAAAATTCCACGGCTAAGGAATGTGCCACGCCGCCTTGTACAAACTCATTTATATTTACTATATTATTTATATTTACTTTAGCGATGCCAAAAACGCTCGAATTACAATTTTAGCTATATGAGCAGTCAAAAATAGTTCATCGAACATTGAACATTAAAACCCCTTATTACTTGGAAGGATTTACAAATTTGGAAAAGGGCAGGACAAAATATATATCGAACTAAAAAGAAATAAAATGATTTTTGCTAAAAAATGTATCTTTCACAAAAAAATCTACCTGCTTTTCAAATTGCCCTGGAAGTCAAGCAATCTATGGATGAGTGCAACAAGAACGGAAATAAGGTTTTTTTTTAACTTCTATGGAAGTTATGTCATGATTTAACTATCACAATAATAATCCAGTGAGCGATCAAATTATTACCATTTAGGAACAAAAATCAATTACGGCTTCAGTTCAGCCATTAAAATTTATTAATTTTTTTTTTCATTAATATGATTTTACCGACATATGTATATACATATGAGCATTTCCACAGAATGGTCAACCAGAACCGAGAACTAAAATGAGCAATCATTGTGTGGGAACTCTAAGTTGTAGTAAGTTATAGTGTACCGATTTTGACGGTTTCGAAATGATCAATACATTATAAAAATACACTCGTTTGCCAAATTTCAGTCCGATATCTCGAAAAGTGAGGGTATAAATTACAGGGACGTGAACCGGATGAAAACTTTGGTCGGTTCGGTTCAGCGGCTCGAACCATTTTGCAATTTTGGATTGGCTCGTCAAAGCCCTTTTTTTAGTCTTTGAACCGGGGTATAGGTTTGATTCAACGGATCGGAAATCAAAACAAAAATAACTCGCAAGTTTAAGTGTCAAGTACAACAACGCGCAAGGTTTAGTGTCAAGTGTCTGTCAAATGGGATGGGTTTCCTAAACATTTGATATTGCCACATGGTAAACAAACATGGTATGGATTACTATATTTAATAAAAAGAAAAAAGTATGCAATTTTTTATATTGAAAATTGGTTAAAACGAACCTTTAAACCTTTATGAAAAGTGGTTCGGTTTTCGGTTCGGATCAAACATTTGGGGAAACTTTCGGTTCTTTTAATAGTTCAGTGAATTAATAGAAAAAAGCGGTTTTCCGATTCAAAACAGGTTCGATCCAAAATCGGTTCACGTCCCTGCTAAATTGCGTTCAAACAGACAGACAGATGGACTTGGCTAAATTGACTCAGCGCGACGTTTTGTGGGTCTATATCTTCTTCTTTTGGTACTTACAAACATCAGCCCAAATTTATAAGCAGCTTCATTGCGTAAGTCATAAACTAGGCTAAATTGTACGGCTCGACAACATCGGCATTGTCGACTGTCGTGCTGAAATAAGTAAATGACGAAGATCGTCGAAAATTACGTAGTGCTGCCAAGTTTTTCCATTTTAGTAAACTAGTCGAGTGGAAATTTTAGGCAATGACGTGAAATTTTCGATACAATTCGACTCTCGAAAAACTACTTGCATTCCCTTCCATATAAAATGTGGAATGGATTTGAATGAAATTTTGTTTCTTAATGAACTTGAGAGCGATGACTCCAAAAATTCG